AAAAAAAAAAAAAAAAAAAAAAAAAAAAAAAAAAAAAAAAAAAAAAAAAAAAAAAAAAAAAAACATGTGAAAGTGAAAAGTGTACAGGAAAAATAAGGGGCTGCGAAGCAGCCCCATAAGCCCCTAGTATGTATCTAATCAACAAGACAAGTCACCAACGAAACCAGTGAAACGATGAGTCGAAGTTCCGGATGTCCTCCGTCCCAATACAATGCGTCGGAGACTCCTCGATGATAAATGCGCCTATCTGAAGATGAAGGAAGAAGCAAAGAAGAAGGCTGCAGAGGAAAAGGAGCAATAGGCATCATGGAAACAACGGGAGCAGACCATCTCAATCGAGATGGTCATTAGTAGAGGCTGAACTTTGTCGATTTCAACTCCTAAAAAAAATGTCAACAATTCTCATTTGCACAGAGCATAGTCCCACTAAAATGACATTTTCCTTAGTGGAAGGTAAATTAGAATTTTTCAACTCTTTAATTTTAGGAGCGGGCCAAGGGAAAAGCCAATGTTTGTACGAAGGGATAACAACTGCTGTAAAACCCGTTAAGCTTTACTTTGATGTTGAATGGTTCCAAGAAACAGAAATCGCGAGGGAAAACGCCCTTCATAAGTGTATGAGACTGGTAGTTTGTTGGAATTTTTTCACAGGAAAACAACACCAATACAACTAACACATACAACGACGTAACGACAAGTAATGACAACCAAGTCACTGTGTTTCAGTATCTTTCTTGCCAATCATAAACTCAAATTGTGAGTGCTCTCTTATAACTATATTCTATATGAACTTTTCTCATAAATTAAACCATTTTCGAGGAAATCTATAAACAAGTATCTGCCCGTATCTCTTTCCGTGATGCCCTAAGTACAAAAGCCTTCTTATTTTTCTCTATGAAAACGCATTACAAAATTTTTTCTCCTCCAAAAATTCTTAAGATACTGACAATGATAAATCAGGCCCTGCTTTATTTGCACAATCCAGAAAGCATTCTTTTCCCCCTCAATTTTACAAAGGAATTTGGACTAAATTTTGCCATGAGAAACTACTATTTTTGGCTGATAATAGAAACGAAGTATAAGTCACAAATTTTGCTTATGCAGATGGGTGCTTCTATGGAGGAGCTAGATAGTTCCAATAGTTTCTTAGTGCAAAGTAAAGTTCAATATAATCATTAGGGCTGTGCGAATGTTCGCAATTCCGACTATTCGCGCTGCGAATGTTCGGCGAATATTCGCTTCGTCTGCCTCGCGCACTGTTCGCAAATTACGAATAATCGCGCCGTCGCGAATGGTGAATTTTTGAACTGACGTTTTCAAATAATCGCGCCGTCACGAGGAACGAATTTTCAAATATTCGCGCCATCAAAAATGACGAATTTCTGAGTGGCAATCGTGAAACGGTGCGAGGACCTGCGCAAGGCTTCCCCTTCCATCCGAGACATCGCGAACGGCGGATATCTTTTGATCTTTACCGACTTTGCCGAATTTACGAACTTCTTGAGCCCTAGCGAAGAACCAGCATGAGTAAAACAGGTTGCCGTTACCGTGGGCAATTCATCCAGTGTCATTGACCGCGCATGTGGATTGTGGTATGGATATTTTGTGATTTCTAGTGGATTTTTGTGCATTTCTAAATGTCTGCTGACGAAGAGAACTTGAGTGTCGAAAATATAGATGAAAATGACGATCATGATCACGATAAGAATAACGATCAGGCTTAATCACACTTTTTTTGTCGACTTTAGTAATATTTGCGAATTTTCACACTTAAAAAATTCATTTCAAATTATTAGATTTACTATTCGTAGCTGTGAATAATTGACTATAATTATTCGCTATTTGCTTCGCTATTCGCGAATAATCGCCAAAATTATTCGCTATTCGCTTCGTTCGGAAAATTCACTATTTGCACAGCTCTAATAATCATAACAAAATATCAAGATAAATAAACCTGTGGGTGGTAATGATCCAGTTGTAGTTGATTGTGAAGAATATCACTCATGTTTGTTACTGGAGTCTTTGGGACAACACATTTTCAACGTCAGCCTTCCTCAGTGCAGTGATTTTGAAGTTCGGTGGGATTCTGGCTTCTGTGAGTATAATACAAGCCTCTTCTAGACTTCGAAAATATTGCTCTGGTTTTGAGGTGTACTTAGAAAAGAGTGGAATCAAATTTCTCGTTACGTCAAAGTGCAGTTGTTCTGCTCCGCCTTGATTGAATGTATTTTCCAAAATCAGCTCCTCAAGAATAAACTGAAATGATTGAATTGAAATTACAAAAGAATGATTTTGACAGGGAATAGAAGTGAAAGTTAATTTTATATGAGAAGGGAATAAGTCAACTTAGAGAAATGCTCTAACTATAATAGGATTCTCAGAAAAGGGGACACAGAAATTCGAGAGGAACAGGCTGCAAGTAAAATTTTATAGGTGTCAGAGTGTGAACATTTTTGTAGGTCCTGCACCGAATCTTCACCTCTCTGAGACAAGATCACTAATTTTTTAGACACTTCCTTTTTTCTTATTTTTACCTGAATATTTTGCTGAACAAGCTGCAAAGTGATCTAGACTTCATCAACATACAGCATACGACAAAACGATATTGATTTTATCAACCAAATCAATGATTACTTTTCCTTCATGAAACTGAATTTGAATTTACTTTGAATCTGTTATTTTTGATCCTTTGGGGGTTAAAATATTGATTTATGTACTGTAATAGCCACAGTGCATTATAATAACAATAAAACATTCATTTATTTATTTACTTATTTATGTTAACAAAATCAAGATTTTAACTGCTACCTCATCATTTAAATTTCTTACTTTTGCAGTACCTTATCTGGATTGTTTCCTTACCTTGCACGCAGTTTTGACTCAGCAAAAGACCAAGTTTTATCCACTAACACATGAATTGATAATTTTTTCATCATTTTGAAATAAATAACTTTCTTAGAGCTTTCGGTTTTCCTCAATATTCAGAAAAAAAGAAGACGAAAAATAATGAGAGCTGCAGTATTCATTGAAGAGAGACGAAATTAGCTTTTTTTTTTTTTTTTAGCAGAAAGACAGAAGTTATGAGAAACTCAGATTGGAAAATTCAGAAATAAAACTGATAAAGGAATGAAGCAGAATAAACTAAAACACAAGGAATCAATTTGAAGGAACTTCAAAGAGTAGACTATGCTGAGAAATTGCATATGAAGAGCGCTCATTGTTCCTACCCTCACAATGGACGGGTTGCCGGCCAATGGTGGCTGAACAAAAGAGGGTGTCCAGTGAGCAGTCTGGTCATCAAGTCCCAGACTGATGCATTGCCATTTACGGATTTTAATGCCAAATAAAAAGTCCCAGGTTTTGTGAAATGGACCATAGTAAGAGGAACGTTTAAACCATTGCTAATGCAATTGAGAGTTGCACATTCTTCTTTCTATCTAATTTAATTCCCTGAAAATTCATTCAAATGGAAGATGAAAAGGATGCAAGAACTGATTGATTGCTGAATGATAAGCACTTAAATGAAAAAAAAATGTTAATTTCGGTACCTGACTGATTTTTTTGGCTATGATTTTCCAGCAATTTTGGAATAGTGGTGAAGCGATCGATTTCTGCAAAAAATGTAATCTATCCGCTAAAACTTGGAACATAGGACATGCACTGGCAGTTAATGATGGTAGGGCTGTATTTTTTATCGAAGGCATGGCAAACCACCTAAACAAAACAAAAAAAAATTCTTAAAACTCTAGGAGTTGAAAACAACTCAAAGCTTGAAACCATAGTATTCACTTGGCTCATCAAAAACACTTGTACTGTTTAAACACCTTAGTGCGTTTAACGCATATCAATTTGTAAGTGAGAACAGTTGAATTCATGGAATCTCTTAGAACGTTGCTATAACTGTCTATCTTGACTTCCAAAAAAAAAAAGAAAACTCTCTGATCAAAATGACAAATATTTTTCACTTTTTGGATCAACAATTTACAAATATGCACCGCAAAAAGAATTACTTGCTGCTGTCAATTTTAAAATGATGTTTTCCCTGCCGATTTTTAGAAACAATAAATAGTGCTAGTATATTAATAAGCAAAATCTAAGAAGGCCGTGAGAACTTGTCCAACAAAGATACACATCCTATACAATAAATTAAAAATATCAAAGGGAATGCTGGACCCTACCGAAAGGGATCAATGACTGAAACACACCAATTAAGTCAGAGGTTCTAAAAGTCCTAACTCAAGGAACACGAATATTTCTGAGAAAAATACAAGATTAGCAGAAAACTGCAGGCTCTTGAGTGAAAATTTCTTACTTGTCTCTTCTGTACGGTTTACTGCGGGCTTTGGTTTCGAATACAACTTCCATGCAAACTAACTGAACTAAGTCATTCAACATTGATTGAAGTTTGTCGGATTTTCCATCAAACACAGATGTTGCCTCCGGCATATCCACTTGCTCTAATTGCAACTTATAGTGGTAAAGCAACAAGAAGTGCTACAAACATAACATGAAGAGAAACTTTAAAATATTGACAAAATGTGAGTTTCAACTTAAGGTGTTTGTGGGTTTTAAGAACTCCAGTAGCAAATGCATTTCTGCAAAAGAGGTTAATTTACATTAGGAAACTGCGGAAAGAACCCTTCGGTCTAAGCAATAGACTGGAAGCTGTTCAAGGTTAATTTTTTGCCTATGAGCCACCATAAGCAAAGGACAAGGTGAAGACATATGCTGCCGTGCTAAGGAAAAACGCCGTAAGAGCCTCCAAGCGCTGCCAAATTTCCTTTCGTAAATCACGAATTTTTGGGCGAATTTGTAAATATTTTTCCTCAAATTTTTCAGATAATTTTGTTCGCAATTTCACTTAACATTTCTGAAAAGTTCAAGGGAAAATATCCGTAGCTTTCCTCAAAAATGAACATTTTATCGAAGGAAATTTGGCAAATCTCAAATGTTCATACGGCGTTTTTCCTTTGCACGTCGTATGTATGTTAGCAGTACAAAACTATTTTACAAGTGTCTTTTTCAGAACTCCGAAATCAGATCAACATCATTAAATGCATCAAGTTAAAGTTTATGGGATATTTTACGGAGTTTAGAGACATGCTATGGAAAAGCTAAAGGGACAAAGAATTAAGTTTGAAATTTTAAACACAGATCTGGTCCGCAAAAAGGGGGTTTTCAAACGAGTACAAGGTAAATGACTTTTGTAGAATGGTAAAAATTGGAGGGAAAAGAAAAAGAGTTAGGGCCATTCCAATATCTCAGAATAAAAAGGCAGTGCTGGATTCTAATTTGCATTTTATAGGGATTTAGGGAGTAAAAAGTTCATCATTGATACAATATTAACTTGATGAGAAAATGCACTTGCTCTGTGCTTAATTTAGCCAGAAAGAGCATCTTCTACTGAGAGTTTAGAGGATTTAAATATCAATGAAAAGCGACAGAAAATGTAACAAATGTTGGATGCGCTGGGATGTAGAAATATTTGGAAAAAATAGCTTACAGTGTTAGTTCCCCAATCGAGGAATACATCACAAATATAGTTGATAGAATTTATGATTGAGATCGCTTTCATATTCAAGACTTCTTCGTTGAAAAGAGATATTTCCTGTGATAATCGTCTCTGAAATTCATCAATCAAATCTAATTGTAGGTTTAAAAACTCTAGCCTGAAACAGAAACAAAGAGAATATAAATAAGGAAAAATATTGGAAAATGATTATATGTGAGACCAGAGAGGGAATTTTAGTTGATAGAATTGATTAAACGATAGATTTTTTTAACCAAAATGTTTGTTCCACCAATCGATTGCTCAATCAATGTCTTTCAGCCTTTAGAGTATAAATTTGTGTTCATTCCCAAAAATTGATTACAGGGTAAGTAACTTGCTTTAATTTTCACTGATTGTGGTGTTTTTCTGTTTTTTTTTTGTAAGTTTTAGGATTTTTTTGGAAAGATAGCAACCTTCCTGTTAAAATTTTCATTTGGCATTGCCCAAGACTCTGTGACTCTGGTTGTATCGACCAGTATTGACGGGTTTTACGAGAGCCTGTTTCAACTGGAATGTGGTTGCTAGCGTTGAATGCTTCCATGAGGGGGGCAGTCTTCAGAACTATGCACATGCTTACAGTTCGAAACCTTCAAGGGCCCAGCTGGGAAATGCACCCCTGAATTTTTGTTTTTTTGTTTTTCGAGAGTTGGAGAGGAGGAACACAGCGGTACCAAGGAAAATATGACCACAAAACACTATGGCAGGCAACATTTAGATGAAAAAAGCTGAAAGCTGCGATCATGAACGAAGTTTGAAGAACTAAGGGCTTACTTATGCCTGGGCTGAGGAAGCGCTGAATATCTTTCAGTGATTGTGGAGAGCAATGTCAGAAAACAGTCAGCACACTCCGTAACTTTCAATTCGTCGTCATCATCAGAACTGAGATTTGTCCATGCCGTTTTCGATTCCAATATAGAATCTAGTTTGGTTAGAGCATCTGCAAAATTCACAAACAATGTAGTTGTGTACAATATTTAATGTGAAAAATAAGAAATAAACACGCTTTTTAGTCCATAAGAAAAAAAAAAGATTTGTGCTACAAAAAAGATCCATCCAGCTGCCAAGGTCAAATCCTGCAGTCTAGCCAAATGGCAATTGATCCACTCAAATTTTGATTTATCAGAGGCTCTTAGATCAAATCTGAAATGTTTGCAACATTTCAGCCTAAGTCCCATCAAATCGAAGTGCTGGATGCAGTAAGGGCACTTCTTGGTGGGTTTTTGGAATCTCCACCAACATTTCAATTATCACAAGGAAAGCAAATTCACATATTTTATTGAAAATTGTACACATTTTAAATATCTTTATGATGTTTTAAACCAAGAAGTCCAGAAAAATCATCCATATTTGCCTTTCTAGCGTAAGAACTGACAATGAAAATTATGAAACACTACAACTGAGAAGTGCCCTTCCTTCATCCAACGCTTCAGTTGCGATGTAAAAAATGAAAGCGCCAATTAACGGCATGCTAATCTGCAGGATAAGTCTACTTGTATTTAGAAGAAAATATCACGATATAGTACCTACAGTTAATGCAGGTTCAGCAATTTTCGACCTTCATTCAACTTATATTTTAGAATTTTGATGAATGATGGCATAAGGGACTTCTGCCTTGATTTACAGGGAGTGCATTCCGTTTGCTCGACAAATGCACTGCATGAGGGGAAGGGGGTCTTGAAAATGAAAGAGTGCGATTCATTTTTCTTGAATGCCTTAGTATAGCTCTTTAACAGTGACAAGTATAGATTTCATATCAAGCTGCCAATGATTTTTGGCCAAAGAGCTTACAGAGTACGTACTTCCTACCAATAGGAGCATTACGACGGTGTAAGTCAGCTATTACATGACATGTTTGCGGTGTCTGAAAATCTCCGCCTCTATATCACTTTTTTAAAGGAGAACAAATTGACATCATTCCTTGAGGTTTATGCAGAATTTTTTTCGCACAAAGAAGAGAAATCACAGCAGTTTTAAAGAATTTCCAATGAGTAGTTTTCCGTTAAAAAAATAAAGTATGACAGGAAGTCTGCAACGTTGCAAACCGAGTTATGTGATTGCCAACTTACACCATCGATTAGGGTCTCATAAACACTGGGTAGGTTTAGATAATTTTCCACATAATTAAACTTACATTTACGTTCCATATTGATCCATTTCATGAATAACTCTGGTTGTGTAAGGACCATGAGAACGCTTGGTTCAGATGATGGATAGTTATAACTATCTCTCAGCTCGTATGCAAAAGCTAAAATCTATAAAATTAAAACAAAACACACACATAAGTTACTTTTTTCTCACCAGGGGGTTAAAATTTATCCTCATCTACCCAACCTTTAAATGGAAAGATTTGACTGCAATCAGCCTAAGTAAAACGAACATTCCTCACTTTTCTCTGATGTTTTAGATTTCGAACAGAAAACTTAGCAAAACTGAAATTTAAAATTTTGTGAGTATATTTTTCGTTACCAAGGATAAATTCACAATTTAAAAGGCTTTGAGTATTTTCGTTTTCTGTTGAAATTAATTTAACACATGAGAAAACTAGGCAACATGAAATGCATTCAAGCTCATTGTGATTAAATGTTTGAATAATTATTTTCATAAAAAGCAGAGGTCTAAAGACTTATGAGGGAAAATGCTTGAAACTATCATGCGATACTTTTCACTAGAGAAGGGCAAATTTAAAGATGTGTTTAAGAAAGAGATGGTAGGGTGGTTTTTCATTTAAACGAGTGGGTTTGATGAATGATAAGAAATTTGCATAGTCAGACATTTAGGCATGTGATTTGCTTGTTTACCTAGTTTAAACCTTTAATATTCTTATGTTCCTTCTTTATTTGAACACTGAAACTCATTACTTATTAGTGCTAGATTATTTGAAAGCTGGTTAAAATAGGCACAGCTTTGGATATTGGTAATTATTGCTCTGGAACAATTTTAATAGAAAAAGAGCAGTTATAAACAAGATACTGACCCCATTTCATCTAGCTCCGCCAACTACTAAGTCACAGGTCTATACACAGAGCTTGTGTGCATCTACCCTGTCAGCAAGTTAAAGAAAGAAGGTGCCAATGCTGAATTACAACTCAAAAATTATATTCTCCTGATGATTTACTTCAACCGATTCATCCATATCTGCTTTTTTCTGCCGTTATGAAAAAATGGGTGATGAGAATAGAAATCTAAATTTGACTTACCTCATCCACTGCGTGACAAAATAAGACGTCATCATACTGTAATTCGACTAGGTCCCTATCTAGTTTTTCAACAACGAGTTTGATGAAACCACGAATGAGCTCAACCTAGGGCATTACGAAGCGAATGATTATTGAACGTGACAAAGACTTTGCGTTCGATAGAGTTTAGCAAAGTAGTCACATCTACAAGGCAGGGTTACAAAATCATCTCCTAATTTAATTTTTTGGAAAAGAACCAAGCAACACCCTTACTTGAAAGTTGTTGCAATTTTTTTTTGCCCATGTGAGGGTTTTTCTACAAAATCTGAAGTGAAAATTTTCGGTGGTTTCCTTCCAAAATATTAAAACAGATGAGATTTGGAAACATTGCAATTTGAATATGACTATTTAGTTTAACTCTGTCCATTTAAAGTAAATCTACCCTCTCAGTTACGAAAACAGCCACTGTGTTACCTTGCTGACTCAAAACATAAAAAGTTAGAAGTTTGTAGTTTTTACACCTGTGAGTTCCATCAACATACCTCTAGAGGTTGATGAATGCCTGTGCTGTAATATCTAAGAGAAGAGTCAAGTGAAGTACAAAAGCCCTGTTCTCCGCTTGTGACGTTGCAAAACTCCTAATATTTTTTTATAAATTAAGGTGGATCTTCAGCACTTTGGAAAACGATTCGATGGCCAATTGATCAATGGGTACATAACTTCTGGATTTTAGAATATCTCTCCAGAAATCTGCAAGCATCGCATCATGCTGTAGTCTGCCAGGTATTTGTACACAAGATTGGTCCACAACGCACTTTGAAATGACCCCATAAGTGCTTCCCTGGTTAATATCGCAATTTGTTTCGCATTTTGATCTACTTTTATATTTTAAAGCTATTTCAAAATTTGGTTTGGTCAAATCTAGAGTGCAAATACCTGGCGGACTACAGTATGATGTGATACTGGGAATTTCTGCAGAAATTTTGTAAGACAAAGAAGTTATTAATTATTTGATAGACAATCAAATCATCCTACACAAAAGTGGGAGTCATCCTTAATAGAATAAAACTCATTGTGATGGATTCCTGAAATTTTTTATTCTTTTTTTAAAGCTATCTGAAGACACTTTTTCCAAATTTCAAGAGAGAGCACTAGTTGATTATTTTTTCTTCCTTTATTGAGCAATGAAGTAAGAGTGTGATGATCTTGAAATCTGCAATAAAGCCATTTGTGGGAGCAATAACATCCATGTTTTACTGAGCTGCTCAAACTATGAAACTTTATAGATAATAAGGACAAGGTTTTGTGAAAAAGGAACACTGTTTCTCAATTACCGATAAAAGCTTCTGACCAGGCATTTGAGGCGCCTCATGAGGTTATGCTGTACAGCATCGACTCGTAGCCTCAGCATCAATGCCGTATGCCCAGGTAGCGGCCGTTCGGGCATACGGCTCCGAGCCTGATGCGCTCAACCTGCCGGCCGCCGGCTTCGGGCATTGAAGCCCGATGCTGGAGAGCCGACCGAGCCAGCCTCAAGCGCTGATGCTTAGGTTTGATGCTGGCTCATGGGCCTCAGCCTCTGAGGCCGGACCGTCGGCTTGCGGCCCGATACGGCCTCAATTTTCGGACCCGCCACCCAGCTTAATTACCGACGGGGCTGTCCCAGAAGACCGCGACCCTCGGACTCGGCGATGAATTCGCGGAACACCCCTTTGTCTTGGCGGCGGCCCACGCCTCGCCGAGAAGTTCTAAGAAGTGGACGCCGAGGAAGGGTGTTAGCCGACCGGCAGCCGGGCCCGGGGCGCTGGCGTCCGACGCGTCTGCTAATTGAAGCCGCTAATTTTGATGCTGGACTCAGCATCAAAACTGATGCAGCATCAGAAAAGGAGCCGGGAGTCGGCTTCACCAGGTGAAGCCGCCTCAACGGCATATGCGCTCCTCCGGCGCACTGATCGAAGCGGCATGAAAGTCCGCGCCGGGCCTCCGCCTCGCGCGCCGATGCGGCTCCGTTTATGATGCTCCCTCAAACCTCAGCTCTAAATCCCTGCTTCTGACTACACAGGGAAACTGAGGGCTCATTTGTTGATCTGTACTAGAATGAGCCAGAAATATTTGTTCCTTGTTGTGGTCCATTTGCAGTGAACTGAACATTCTCATTTTTTTTTAATAGGAAGGGAGGAACTGCAAATCATAAGCTCATGGCAGCATGAATGGTTTTATTGTTTAGTGCTGGTTTATCTTTTTTTGTTCGGAGATTAACATAGAAAAAAACTTTGTTGTTAAAAATATCCTCCAGAGCTCAAGTCACTCGCAAGCCTTGGCTCCCACACTCAAACATTTTCCGCACCCTTAAACTGATCTTGAACTACTTGAATGAACTAATGTAAAGAAAGAATTCACATACTAACCTCCACAGAGATGTAGCGGCTGGTGCAAGTCTCATTGAAAACAGGTTGAACCTTCTGCAGGATGAAGGCTTCATGATCTCGGATCCACGTCAACACTTGCGTTAGCATCCATTCTGGTTTGTCTGCCCGGTTTGTTTGGCGGGACCCGGAAAAATGATACATAAATCTTTTTCTCAGAGGGTTGAACAACAACTGGACAGGCAAGACCAAGGGATCAAAATCGATCATTAAAGCTGAGGTGACACTTGGCCTGTTCTGCAAATTCTCTGGAATTTCTATTAGAAGTAAAAGTTTAGTAAATCGTTGGAACTTTAACATTACGTCGGACGATGGTGGCGAACGAAGCGTGTTGCTGGATGTTATTGGCCAACCAACTGCAGCAATCAATTTTTCATACTCACTGTAACAGAGCATAAAACACATAGGTAATGAGTGAATCAGTTTGTTTAGACAATCGGAGGATTTTTGTTCATTTTATAAGTATGCCTTAGTACTGTGTCACTGTTATTTAAAAATTTCTTCCTGGGTCTACAACACATTTTCATGCAAATATTTAATTTGAAGATCTTATTTTGAAAATGAGAGGTCAGTACAATTTTTGGCCACTAAGTTACAGCACCTAAGAACAAACCTAAAGTTGGAATAAACCATTAGTGGTAACCATCTAAACCATCCAACCAATGATCAGGTAAAAAAGGTGCAAGTATCGGCTCAGCCAGGTAGGTATCATTATTTTACAGAGAAACTTAGCTTCCAGACAAGTGTTATGAATTATACCTGATCTATAAGTATCAATTATTAAAATACGTTTCCATGATGGACCTATGTTCTACTCCTGATCCTTTCAAACAACTAAACTAAATTTGACCAGATCCTTTGGAGGGGGAGGTCTCTTTATCATTCAGGAGAAAACTTTTAGAGAGCCAAATTTAGGGAAAAATTTCGAAATTGAAGATATTGGATTCTCAGCTAGACACATTCTCTAAAAGCTTTTGGAATAGGCTGGGCGGGTTTATAGTTTGATTTCATCACCACAGAAGGGGCTAACTGCTTCTGTTCTGTTCACTGTTCCTAACCTAAATTTAACATAAAACTTGAGAATTTTCGTCCTGGAATTTCAGGATGTCACATCTCCCTCAACTTTTTAGCTAGAGAGTATAGAAGGCTGGAGGCCCAACTTGATGCTAAGAAATTGGAACAGGGGCACTCGCTGGTAACATACGCAACTAGGTACTATTTTCTATTGTTTTCTAGTGACTGACGGCGGGTATGTTGCTGCCGGACCACCTTCATGTAGGCAATTTTTCATTCATCGTCTGTCCGCAACTCTCGCTTGGCCAATCAGTGCAGTGGTATGGGTATCCTGCTTGCCGCGCACTCTCGTGCCAACGTACGGGAATTCTTGTTTTTATGGCAAACTTGTGTTTCAGGTCTTCCCTATCCAGTCGGGCATCTTGCCTTCTATACTCTGTTTTGAGCTTTAAAGGTCAAACTTGAGCAAAAATTTCCAGATTTTCTTACTTTCGGCAGGGCTACCAATAAGTTGAATTTGAAATTTTGGAGGTAAAGTACCTATTTAAAGATTCGGCCACAAATCGCTTGGACACTAATACATATCAACCTGCTTGGGAATTCATAAGACATGGAAGGGAGTTGAACTTGCACTAACCTTTTGAATCTTTCATAAAATTTACCATGCCACTGGTAGATAGTAGTTTTTAAGTACTGAAATAAACGTGAGCACCCAGATGAAGCAAGAGGTTTGCTTAATTTACAAAGGGACCCATAGATTTCTACTGCTTTTTCATCATCTTCTTCTAGGAGGGCTGTTTCCATTTCTTCACTGTAACAGTTAAAGGATTGTTGTTTAAATAAGAGGCGGAGGTGTAATCCTGAGAAACAGAGAATCAATTGGACGTATTTCTGCCAATTAGAACTATGTGCATTAAGAAATGAGTCCTGACACCCATATGAATACATGCATAACAAAGCTCACCTCACAATGCACTTAGTTCCATTTGACAAAAATACGTCCAATTAGACTAAATTTTGCAATTAGGAACTACAATCTCTGGCTTATTCCAGAAACAAAATTTTTTTTTTTTTTTGAAAGAATTTTATTTAAATATAATGTAACTACTACTAGTATTTTCTTGTATCTATATACATGGCTTCAATTAAAAATAGACTAATAGAATTAATTTTACAGGCTATGATAGAAACAATATATGTAACATTTGTTTCCATGGGCAGATACGTATTTTCGCCTATGATTCAGAAATTGTAGGTCCTGATTGCAAAATGAAGTCCAATTTATTCTCACTTGAAACTACTCATTGGTTATCTTTTCAGGAGCTCAAAACCAACTGAATAAGGTCAAAATTCATTTCCAGTTTTGATAGCTAAATAAGATAGAAAATATTGACTTTCTTAGGTCGCGACTTGGAATTTCATCATTGGGAAGAGCTTCATGGAAGCCTCCAGTGGATAAATGTTGCACTGCCAAAACCATAATAGCTATTGTGCTGATCTTGATTTCATCGTAGAGCTTGTATCATTCCTCATGGACTGAGATCGATTATTATCTGATTATTGACTAAACACTCTGTCTACAAAACCGGTAGGCCGCAAATTCTTTCCCTCCCTCCAAACCGTCAAATTTTTGTCGATTTGTAGCAAATGAAAAAAAATTGGTTTCAATTGATCAGGAATGATGGAAGTTTTAAAATGAGACCAAGATTAGCTCAATAGCTATCTTGGTTCTAGAATTACGGCATCAGTCCTAGAACTTTAGGGACATTCATTATATAAAATGACATTTAAAACGAAATTAAAATTTTGATAGGTAATTTTGAAAAAAAAAGAAATTTTTTTTTTTTGAAGTAAAATTTTCCAAGAAACGGACCCTAAAAATTCTATAGCTCTGTAACATTAAATTTAACTTTCAGGAGTCACTTGGAACTTAGTTCTCCTAAAAATCACAAAAATATTACCTACATTTCCACTCTTCATTGTTGGTTACCTATTTTATTTTCAAGATACATTTATTTCTATAGGGATAGTGAATTTATTTACAAGGGACATTCATGGTTTCAACAGATGATTTATCAATGCTAAAAAGATGGAAACTCAGAATCAAACTCGCTATACCTACAAACCCATTTAAACCAAAATCTTGTTTTTACATAATCTATCCATCTAGAGCCCTGCGAGGCTCAACAAGATAAAAATAAGCACACACTTCTCAAATTGAAATACCTGCAGCCAGATTGTTTAACTTCATGTCCACACGACAAGAATTAAAAATCAATACATTACATGGTGCAGATACCGCTACGTCTTGTCTTATCTTACCGACAAGGCAGTTAAATCAACAATCAGGCTACAGCTGCCAACAGTCGCTGAAGTGCAAGGTTAAGCCACCTATTTCTCCCTGATTCAACCTAATGGTTTAATCTACTCTTCAAAGATGTTGCCAGTGGCTGTATCCACGCTTCATTTGCAACTTACCATGCAGTTTGTATACATTCAATGTGCTCCAAGTAGGCCAAGAGTTTTTCGTGGTCTGCAATAGTAGTCATATAACCTTGAATCTGACTACAGGCTTTTGCAACACCCTCCTGGTGAGCTTCAATTTTTGGCACGACTTTGTCATATTTAGTCAGTAACTGTTTCATCTGAGCAGAGACTTCATCTAAACAGTTCAATGAAGTGCAAACTAAACTAGACCTTTCATTGCTTGTGGCAGAAATCTGGAATAAAGAAGAGTACACTCAAAGAATTGTTTACAAAGAAATAACATCAAAATGTGACAGGTTTTTAAAAGGGGTCCTTGTCAATTCGCTTTCATTTTAGCATAGGAATAAGTGCAAGAATCAGGATGGTGGATCTTCAGTCTCAGTCGAGAACTAAGAACATAACCCACAGGGACTCTACTACTATTAAACTCAGTTCAAATGCGGATCCCCTGAAAGAAATCAAAGTGGGTTCAAAAAACTTACAACCAAGGTTGGACACCCAACTAGAATATTAAGACAACCACATTATCAGAATGCGCAGCTGGGTGCCTATATTACTACAAGCACTTTCAATGTGCAACTATCGATATGAGTTATGGAAAACGTATGCGACACACGTCGGCAAGGATAGTTCATACAAATTCTTGATTCTTAGCAATATCTCATCAACTCTGGTTGGATTTGGATATGAAACATGCACAGAAATACAAACTCTAGTAGGAAGCAAACTCACAGTTAAGCAGCTCTTTCCCAAAGCTCTGCAGAGGAGTGCTGCTGGGAAGAGGTACATTCACTTCCATAAGTACGCATTGTGATAAGCTTTCAGCGTTTATGCTTCATTTTCTATTTGAATCTTGAGCTATGTTACAATACTCAAGCCAGATCGCGCCAAAATCGTTTCCACTTGATAACGAATGGTGCAGTAACATTCATTCAAAGATTTTCAATGCACATCTCTTGACTGAGATTGACAAATATGCATTCAGCCCGTGTTGAAACCCAAGGTGCACTCTACTACATGGTATGGACAAATGGAATTTTAGAAAGTTGTCGAAACGCATAGATTTGACAGTGTTCAGTGGTACAACTGCGACGCCATATTGAAAACTTAACATTTACTGTTCTGAGGGAGCGACTCATCAATTACGTGTTCTTAGTTAAGTTTTTCGATATTTTCAATTTTATCGATTTTTTCAATTCATCTGATGGCTTCTTGAAGCTACCAGATCTGCCAAAATTTCATTTTGAACTGCGCGGCAAAGACGGTACAACTTGCGACGTCACTCGATGGCCTATGTTCTCAACGCTGCCACTTCGGCACCCCGTTTGTCCATACCTGAAGTAGAGAGTACGTTGGTTGAAACCCTCGTGTAGTTTTAGCTGGTGCTACTACATTAATGAAAACCTTTGAGTACAGAGCACAAAAAATTCTCACCTTATTTTCGATGCTACTTTTTTCAATGGAGATTCGCCGATGTAGATCTGCAACCTTCTCTAGGTTTTTGTAAGAACGTCCGAGCTCTTTGTTGAGTTTCTGCACAACAAGTTTCTTCGCTTTGTCGTCCATTGGAAATATCAGGAGAGGACCTCTGTTACCGAATTGGATAACGGCTGATAAAATGGAAAAAGGAAAATCTAATCGAGACACATGATGTTGGCCATACAGATTCTTGGAAAACCAATGATCAAACAACTAACGACCTAACGACTTCACAGTTCACTTCAAGTAAATCAACAATTTTCTAACCTCACTTCCCAAAAGGACGTGCATTCTGGCATTTGATGACGTGCAGTAGCAGTTGTTAAACGGCCAATCACAGCTTGACCCATTTTGACGTTATTGGTAAAGGGTTTCAGCGGAAAAATATGAAGTTCTCTACTTTTCCAGTTCCATATCATTAGTAGATCTGAAAAGTCTCACCGTACAAAAAAAAATTACAGGTGTTTTCTGTTTTTCTTTTCATGTAATAGAAATATGAAAAAGACAAGAAAACAATTTAATAAGTAATCAAGAATTATTATCGATGTGTACCGTGTTCAGGATTGATTCATATGAAAAATCCACGAATCTCCACAGGATTCTCGCGGCTCTACACGAAGCTGCGTTTATGCAATCTGTGAAAAATTCATCAGGGGAGGTCACTAACTTGTATTGAATCCAACAGCACGGGGTTGGGAAAACGCGATTTCCCGCCAAGGACAGCTCGTTAGGTGTAACGGCCAATCAGCGTTGAGAGCGGGAAAGTACAGGATTGGTGGAGCTTTCCCGCCAAAAACAGCTCATAAGGTGTAACGGCCAATCAGCGTTGAGAGCGGGAAAGCACAGGATTGGTGGAGCTCTCGTTGACCGGAAGGTGGGAAAAATTGAAATTCATGCTCACCCAGCTTCGATCGCAAGCAGCCGTTTTAGTCTCCGACCTCCGTTTCCCACGAGCGCCTCATGACCTATCGAGACCCATGGCAAGAAAAAGGGCTCAAGTAAAACCGAAATTATATCTGAAATAGTTGAATCGTGCCGTGCGAAAACCGCTTATGTCCATTTTTCCTAATTTTGAGAAAACTGCAAAAAACTGTGGAGACCTTGTAAATGTGGTATTAGAAAATGCTCAGAGGTAATAATTAATCAGGAATGGATGGTAGAAAAGGATCCCTAAACAGTCTCCAGCTCCTATTCCGTCGAGAATGGAGTAATTAAAAACGAATGGACACTGGACATTTAGCGGTTTTCGCATGAAACGTGAAAATCTCCAAATTTTGAAGCTGTTTGATATCTTCAAAATTAATTTTAGAAAGATTAAAACTGCAGATTATCATTCAAATAAAGTTACAGAAAGTGGATTCTTGACGATTGGGGCATTCATGACGAGTTCCATCACGAGGCTACCGGCGATAAACTGGACATCAGCGGTTTTCTCACGATTCGTGCATAGTCGGCTCTGATGCATCGAAAACGCATATTTTTATGCACGGAATTTCTTGAAAAATTAACAAAAAAATATCTTTAGAGTGACAAACAATAAAATTCCTTTGCCTATTCAAGCATATTCTCAACAAATGCCAGGGAGAAAATATTTGTTATATTTTTTCAGTTTATTGTTTTTCCGAAAAAATTAAAAAAGTGTTTGTTTTCCTCCTAAAATGTTCTAATGATATTTTTTTCATAGCAATGCAAAGATACATTTTTCAGTTTTCTTTCTAAAAAAAAATCTTCTGGCGTCAGCAATTTTAGTATTAAGCGCATTTTATAAAAATCTGCCTAAAAATTCAAAGAGGTTTCTCTCAGTAACTTAAACAACTAATTTCACAAAGGTAACACGATTCGCGTGGTCACATAAGCGCTGAATGGCATGAGGCGAGCGACAGGGAAAAGTCCTCGGTTGCGGGGCAAGCGGAAGGTAAGTTAGTGCGCCTTCAATATTTTGTATATGCAATACGGGTATCCGTCAAGCACGAATAGTTGTATCCTGCGTTCAGGATCTACCATCGATAAGATTTGCTAAGATGTGTGATAAGAAATAATCAGTATTTTGTGGATATAGCAACCTCACCGTTGCGTTGCAACTTGTTAGTGCGCAGAAAATTACAGTATATAATATACTCAGTAATATTTAAGAACCCCTTTTTGGACTCTTATAACGCCCTAATTATCTAAGCTTGGTGATGCGATGTGCGGTCCTTGTTTTCATGTCATAAAATTGTCACCTCTCTGGCCAAAGTATCACTAGCACCATTTGTTAACAAATGTAGAATGAATTTTGGGGTTCGGGACTTTTCTGGTTTAGAAATAACAATTCAGCAGTTAAAAACCAAAATGTTTGACTTTTCGAAACGAATCTATCATCTATTGTTAAAGTTAAACCGAGCAAAGGGACCATCAGTTTAACCATATACTCTTTGAGGGAAACTTAGAATTGCATTTTCTAAAATGCAAATACCAAATGCTTTGTATCATTTTGATGAGATTTTCGATTGAGGCGAAAAAAGGGTTCTAAAATGTAACTGAGGCATATTCTAATTTGCTGCGCACTAACGAGTTGCAAAGTAATGATGAGGTTGTTGTGTCTACATACTGAATATTTCTCATATCACAAATCTTAATCTTAGCGCAGTCATATCGATGGTAGCGCCTGAACGCAGGATACAACTATTCGCACTTGGCGGATGCCCGTGTTGCATATATATAATATTGAAGGCGCACAAACGTTCCTTCTGCTCGCCCCGTAACCGTAACAATGACCTCTGAACTTTTTCTTGTCGCTCGCCACATAGTATCTATCGCTTAATGTGACCACGCGAATCGTGCCACATTTGAAAATTAGTTTATTAAGTTACTGAAAAAAACCTCGTTGACTTTTCAGGCGGATTTTCACTAAATACTTGATACTAAAATTTCTCACGTCAGAAGATTTCTTAGAAAGAAAACTAAATAATAAATCTTCTTGATTCTTGCATCGCTTTAAAAAAAATCATAAGAAATTTTTAAGAAAGAAATAAATAACTTATTAAAAATTATTTGGAAAGAAAAATTGAAAGAAAATGACAAACATTTCCTCTCTGACATTTCCTCTCTGACATTTATTTTTTTAATTTTTGTTTTATCATTTTGAGAATATGCTGGAATCTGCAAAGGAAAAACTCCGTTGACGGACCTGTGGACTGTAGGTAGACGCTGCGATGTCATGTCGTTAGTAGCGCCTGAACGAGGGATACAACTATTCGTACTTGACGGATGCCTATGTTGCATGCACAATATATTGAAGGCGCACCAACTTTCCAACACTATGCCACGCTATACCCTACCGTAACAGCAACGCGAGTGTGGACTTGGTTGTGTTGTGTCCGGTGTCGGCCGCCACTCAGAGCTATAGATAAAAAAAAAAAAAAAAAAAAAAAAAAAAAAAAAAAAAAAAAAATTAGAACAGAAAAACAATGATTTTTCTTACGAATTTCAGTCAGAAAACTCGAGGAGAGAACAAAAATTAAGTTTTAATTTTTTTTTTCTTAGAGAAAGTGTAGAAAAACAATTTGTCTAACATACCTATAAGCTTGAAATGCTGATCTGTGAATAATTTTGAATGATGGCAGAGGATCCAAAGAAAATTTAAAAGATTTTACACTTTTAGTACGACTTTCAGGTAAATCTTACAGAATAGCTTCAGTCAACAACTTCAGTAGGTTGTATCGCCAGCGTAAAATTAGTATTGTTTTGGCTTAGCGATGCGATATTTTCGAGTAAATGAAGAACGTCAGTGGCGCGGCGTGCTTTGCGATATATCGATTGATCTGCCATTTAAATCTATGGAAAAGGATCGATTATCGAGGTGTTCGCCACGAACACCTTGATAATCGATTCTTTACTACAGCTTCAAATGGAGAAGTATCGATAATCGATCCTTCACGCCGCGCCACTGAAGAACGCGACCTCGCTGTGGATGACGAATGAGTATCCTCATACCTCACAATAAATTCAACTCCACCGAATCTGGTTTGCGCATGATACTTCCCCTCATCAATCCACCCCCGCCATATCATTCGTTTTCCATCCCCTTAAAGACGAGCATATCATCATACGCAAAGAGAGTGAGAAAGATGGGAGAGACAGAGGAAGACCATCCTCCTCCTCCTCCTCCCCCCCCCCCCCCCATTTATCCAGTAACAGTGCTGTCGCATAGATAAAAAAAGGAGGTGTTTGCATCTTGAGGTTTGTTTACCCTGTGACGTAGGTCGGTGCAACCTGGCCAGCGAAATCCGAAATTCGAACTATGAAAAACGGACCATAATGTCCCATTTTTTTTGCTTAAATGGACGTATTTCTGTCAAACGGAACTAAGCGCCAATTGGACTGCATTTTGCAATTTGGAACTATAAATTCTGACCCGGTTCAAAAACAACGTATGTGCTATTAGTTTCCCTGTGCACATAAGTGTATTTTCAGATGAGCCAGAAATTATAGTTCCAAATCGCAAAATGCAGTCCAATTTGAGTTCCTTTTGAGGAATTTAGAATCCCGGATAGCGCGTTCTGTCAAACGGAACTAAACGCCATGGAAAAGCATTGCGAGTATAGGAACGAATGAGCCCGACGACGCCCGGTTCCGCCGCCAATCCAAGCCCCCCTCTACCTTCCTACCCCGATGGCGCTTAGTTCCATTTGACAGAAATACGTCTAAATCAACTCATTATATACTTTCAAGCACTTTCTATAGAATGACTTTTTTCCATAAATTACACCATTTCCAAGAAAATCGATGATAAAAGTCGCTGTGCCGACCTACGTCATCAAAAAAATTCCAAGATGCCCGAAATGCAAACACCTCCTTTTTTTCTCTATGGTGCTGGTCGTTCCGAGGAAAACCCCGTGTTCAATGAGCTGAGCTCGGTGAGCCCGCGAAAGCATTGAGTTATATGAACGGCGGGGTTCATCGCGAAGTGTAGTTACGCCCTTATGTCAGGAGGGCAACGAATTGATCCCCATAACGTGCATCCCTCCAGTTTTGGCGAATATTCAGGAAAATTTTCAAATTTTATTATATTCTTTACCAACCCTTTTTAAAATGTAAGTTGTGTTGATAGAAAGCTCGCTTCGATAATACTGTCTTGCTAAGGAAGAACGCCTTATGAACATTCGAGAGTTGCCAGAGTTCCTTCAATAAAATGTTCATTATTGAGGAAAGTTATGAATATTTTCCCTTGAAATTTTCAGGACTTTTCGATGGAATTACAAGCAAAATTATTAGAAAAATTGGACAAAAAATATTCATATGCAAACCAGGAAATTTTTGTTTTATCAAAAGAAATTTGGCAACGCCGGAAGGTTCATACGGCGTTTTTCCTTAGCACGGCAGAATAGCTCTCGGGATTTTATAAACTGAATTTTTTGTGGTTTAATATTCTTCAGACCTATGATTCAGTTTTTTTTTCATCCCCCAAAAATTTTCGATTTCTAACAGCCCATTATATTGACCGTTTAAAATCGGCATAAATTGACTAAATAATGCAAAAATGTTGCAGTTAAAAGCATTACCTACTTTCACTTTCATTACAATATTTTGGTTGCATCGGAACCTGGGAATTTGTTTCTGAAATTGAGTTGCGAAACTTCGGTTTGTGGTTTTATTTTACCACTCTTTGGCACCAGATCGGCTGTTGACGCAATGACTGATACCCGCCAAGCGCGTTTCGATTTCAATTAGTGCGTAATTAGTATGCGTTCCGCCAATTAGCGTGACTATGTACGCTATGTTTGCCACGGAGCATAATGATTATCACCCGAAAACGAAGTTCGCACTGCCTCTCTACAATTGAATCAACATCGATCATATCGCTCAATTAAAATTGAATGTTGTCAACGAGTTTTTGAGCTCCCTGCTCGAAATGCAACATCATGGGTTTCTTTACCTACGTGACAGTTAAAAATTACTCAAGGGACGGGTTTTTTTTTCTAAATCGAATACGACGGATTTAGCTACGCACCTCTGGCGCAGGTAAGATGGAGCTTAATAACTGGAATTGGATCATCCGGGGAAAACGTGCGATATGATTTTTTACGTGATACCTTTGTGCCTAAAAGTTTTTTTATACTACCCCACATTGCACAAGTTGCAATAAGTTTCAATCATATGGTAAAACTATCGCTATTGTATTGAAGTGCAGCACTTTGTCTATTTACGAATTGAAGAGGCTCCTTTCATTGAAATTTATTGCAATTATTGAATTTTTTTTATTGCAAAATTGCCTCTCTGTTTGATTTTATTGATTATTTAAACTCGGCATTTATTAAGCAAACGATGTAAATAATTTGGAATTTGATTGCATTTCAATTGTAAAATTAATTCAAAATTTGTCTAGCACAATGTTACTTGGGACTGTCAATATTTTAAATTTGTACATTGAAAATGCCATTCGGCCCGAGGGCCAGACACTTTACCCAATGTTGTTTAGTCCAGTGTTTTCATGGTCTATTTATAATTTTTTTATTGGGTGCAATGCTTTTTGAACCAACAGTTTACTTAGTCAAGTTACAAGCAATGATATAGGCCGATGATTAATGATGATCGCCAAATTATGGAATTAACCCTCACATGCTCAGGAAAAACTAACCCGAGGATCGCTGAAAAAACGCACTACAGGGCCGGTACATCCGAATTTCAGATGCAAGTCTACAAATAAATCTTAAAAAAAATAAGACATCAAATTGAAAAAAAAGAAAAAAAAAAACAAATATCAACACAGACGAAGATAGGGGCAGGGCCGGATTTAGGGGGTGGCCACATGGGCCGCGGCACATGGTGGCAAATCTAGGGGGCGGAAAATTTTGCAAGGTTTTTAAATGTAGATATAAACAAAATCGGAGTTAGAAAAAAAAAATTACAAACGAGAAAAGGCAACAAAATCTCTCATTTCCTGAGAGTATGGTAATTTCTAACTTTGTCGTCTTTCAGTGATACAAGAGACAGCACCTTTAATTAGTTGAGTTAAGAGAGAAACCAAACACGTAATTTGGCCTGGAGCGGCGCGGCGCAGAGAGAAATGATGACGAGGACTTGAGATGAAAAGCAGAAGCCCTCGGCGCGGCGGTCGGCATGTGACACATATTAGCGCCTACAAGACTGCATGAATACTTCACGCATTACATCAAACACAGTGCGGTCATTGCGGTCAGCGGGAAACGCATAGCGCCTACAAGCCTGCGTGAATACTTCACGCATTGCGTCAAACACACTGCGTTCAGCAGCGGTCGGCGTGAAATGCACAGCGCCTACAACACTGTATGGTAGGAGTACTTCACGCATTGTGCCGAACACAGAGTGGTTTGCGCGGCGCGGTGGTGGAAGTTAAAATCATTAAACCACATTCATGTTTGTTCTTTCGTAATTTTTTCGTTCATTTCTGATAAATGGAAGGCATTGACCACACAGAGATAGGTTTACCGAACTTAACTTTCTCGCAAAGTTCCATGAACTTTTGCTAATAGTGTTGAGAGGGCTTTCTCAAAAAATATGCCCAACACGAGTAAACGCGCTTTATGCACCCCTCCCCCTCCGGCACGTTTACTTGATGGTTTTTATTGATGTTTCAAAACGAATGAGAAGGGGGCGGCAAAATACAGGCGGCCCATGGGCGGCAAGTAGGTAAATCCGGCCCTGGATAGGAGAAACCTTTTGGGTCTGGTTTTTTCTTAACTTTTCCTCGAACCTAAACGACAGTTCACCGGTAGCATAGAGCGGAGCATCGCAAGCTCACGCCTCACGCCAAAGCGCCTTCAATTTTGCAGATGCAACACGGACATCCATCCAGCACGAATAGTTGTATCTCTGCGCCGTCATTTACGGGCGCCCTTTCCCTTGCTCTATTTCCATGTCGTGTTGGATCCGTCTGTATTATTTGTAGTAGTGCTTCAAGGGCTACGTGAGCAACACAGTCAAAGAACTTGGTTTAAATTTTTTGGCCAAATTAGGTATCGGGTAAAAAATTGGGTAAAAGTGTCCAGCTACCTTCGGCCCGGATATACCAATCAATCAAAAAGAGAGGTGAAAAATCGAGCCAATTCAGTGATTTTTAATATGAAAAAAATGACATCAATATTCTTGATTGTGAGATATTTACGAGCAAAAGGCAGTAATGAAAACATCGTGTAAATCTTTAACCTTTTCCTGTATGTAGTCATTTACTTGAAAAGATCATGTAACTATTTGATAAAATCTTCATTGCCTCTCTTTTTGAATATTTTTTAAAACTGGTTATCGAATTGGAATGATTTGCTCGAGGGAATTTGTGCAATGGGATGTTAAAGATGACGCACTTTGCACCATTGATAGCAAATATTAAGGATGTCAAAATGAGCTCACAAATTAATCTTATGAATGAGTTTAATCAATATATTGTTTGGAAGTAATCGAAAGCAAATGGCAGTTGGTTCAATTATTTTTACCAAAAAAAAGGACAATAGCTCCTGCGCATGAGCCTAAAAAATCATTAAAACCAAAAAAATTGCGAAAAGTAGGGAAATGAAAGTAGAATCCTGTTTGGAAAAAGACCTCATACATTCAATACGGTTACCGATTTCTGTATCAAATTCGAGGGTTTTTTTCCAAACCGGGTTCTGCTTTCATTTTCCTAAATTTTGCTAATTTTTTTATTTGGAATGATTCTTTAGGCTCATGCGTAAGGACTATGGACCTTTTCTTGGCTAAAAATTTACAATCTGCCGAGATTTTTGACCTAATCGACCAGCCAGCTCAACCACGTCACTTAAGCTTGACGAATAACCTCAACAGCCTCTGTTAGGAGGTGAATTGGCAAAAATCAGCCAAATATCTCGCAACTCGTTCTTTAGGCTAGCATACACTGGAAAAAATGTCGCTTGGATCTACAGTCCAGGCTCTTGAAAACATTGACAAGAAAAAATACTTTTGATTCAATCCGATTTTTCCTCGAATCGAAGAGCCGAGCCTCTTGATTTAGGCGGATTTCCTTTTAATTCAAGCAAATAGTCCGATTAAATCGAGAGTATTTTTTCTTGTCAATGTATTTAAGAATCTGGACTCTAGATCCAAGCGACTTTTTTTCCAGTGTAGCAAAATTTCCGTCAAAATTTCAAGATCCGATTTTCCGACTAAACTATAAAAAAATAACAATTGAAACATTTCTCCCGTAGACTGAAGTCCCTTTCCGTAGGGATGATCGCATTTTAAGAAAGTACACAACCGGAACTGGACCATAAAAATCAACCCCTTCGTCACGAGGGATAAGCCGAGGAAAATGAAGCCGGGAAATTCTCGGGCAAAGGAGGTATTATCCGGAGAAAAGGGTTTCCAATTCAAAGGGTAGACTCCGGCGGCCGTAATTCGTTCACATTAGTTGACGACTTTTTTCCAGCGACGAGGAGTCCGAATTAATTTGAAAAGCATTAAGTAATGGCGGGCTATAAAAATAAAACCTAAATAATATTAATGATAAGGAATAGCGGCATAATAAACTATGTCGCTAAATCTGTCGAGTAATTTGGCATAAAGTCACGTCGGGGATGGGAGTGGCGGAGGGGGTGGCGACGCACCCCCTCGGAGCGGGACCGTAATGGGGTGCTCGGGCCAATAGAATCACTTAATCTACGGTTAAAAGGGCGGTTCATAAAGTCCCTCCCTTCCCACGGTGCGTGCGCAGGGATGTACGACCAACGGCAGAATCCTCTCCGCCAAATCCTATTATTTTATCTTCACCTCTAAAACCTAAACTTTATCGCGATTCGTTTATCCGGGCCTTTGAATGTGCTCTTTTCGAGTCTTTCGCGCCTCGTGTCCTGCCGCCTATTTTTCTTCCTTTGACTCGGGGTCGTAAATTCAGTGGTAGTGAGTCTCCGGTCGACATTCCTTCAATATTTCAGCTGTATTAATTATCGCCGATTGCAAATCGAGAAACGAAATCTTGCGGGTGAACGGTTTTTTCCTCCAAGGGGATCGTACGCGATGGTTTGAGGGATGATCGCAAAACCATAGACTACTTTTAGTCACTGTAACTTCTGGTGATTATTATACTTGTATGGTTGCAGATAAAAGTGCTGTGAATTTAGTGATAAGGCGGAGGCGTTACTTTCATCATTGTAACATTTTCTCTGGCTAATGTTATTTACGAAATGGAGGTAAGAAAATAAGATTATTCAATCGTCTTTCATTTGGTATTGTCTAAGAGTTAAGAGGCCTCAGTCAGTGTCTATCTGGCTCTAAAATTCTTGGGGGTGCTGATACGTTTTCGGGGCTCTTCCTTACGGGTGGGGCTCCCCTAATTTACGCAGTCTTCTTTTATGCGGGTTTTTAAGTTTTGGGGCCCCCTCCTGGGTGTCCTCCTAGGGTCCCTTAGGTTATTGGTCAGAATTTTTGTGGTGCTGAAACATCCCAGCACCCCTGATCTGACCGTCCCTGCCCACAGTGCATCAAAACTTAAAATTGAGTCATTGGTATCAGAGTATCGGAGAGTTTTCTAAGAATATTTTGGCGAAAAAATCGACAAATGTCTGACCAAACTTCAGTGATGATGGTTTAAAGTCCTTAGTGCTAACTAAGAAGTTTCAAGAAAAATCTTGATTTGAGCTCTGATATTGCATGTCAAGAGTATGGCAATTTCGGATTATAATGCGGCTGTCAGTGCACGATTGGGAGTTGCAGAGCGCTCTATAGTGCGCTAGGATAGCGGCGTGGTACATAAATAATGCGACTTTACACATTTAATCACCACAAAAATGAACGTAACTGATTCTCAGGGCACGAGAGAAAAATATCAAAAGTCGAATTTATGGCTTGAAAAAATAGCTCACTGAAAATTTTGCCCTCGAGAATAGTACGGTTTTTGCTTTCTCTGTAAACGCTCATAATATTTATTGAATTAATTGTTTTAGTTGCGAGCAATTGGTTGTTTATTTGTCAATAGAGGAAGTGAAATCACACCCTGAACATAAAAATATAGAATTTTAAAATGCTTTTTCTGAACGACATTTTTTTTTAAATTGACATTTTTGTCTTTAAATTTCCAAGCCCCTCTATTCACTGACATCAATTTTCAGTTTGTGGTGACCGAAGTTTCTTCGCCGGCAACATCACAATTTAAGAGGTACATTGTTCAAACGGATGCGATTTGCCAATTCACTTCTAGACATACCGAGAAATATGCAAACTTCAATAGTGAAATATTAATATATCCTTTCTCCAGTTTTTTCAATATCACAAAGGCTCCTTCATATCATCAAATAGATAACTATTGCCGCATGCAGGATATTTTGCAGTATACTTTGAAAAATGAAGGCGCACGACAGACATCAACTTTCATATTATCTAACGTGCTCTACTGAGCTAAATGAAGACTATATTCATCAAGACAGAAACAAATATTTAATTCAGAGACGACAATTATTCCAGTGATGAAACTGGAGATAACAATATCAATAACGTTATAACATTGAGAAGTTATAATGATTCCGTGATAGATATAAATGGTTTCTTAGAAAATGTTTTTGCTTAACTCCCCTTTGATAAATTCTATCTATCGGGTTAGACATCGGTCTATAGGATTCCTAAAATACTTCTTTTTCATTACCTTTTTCGACCTTTTCCTCGCTCTACACGCAAATTATTCTCTGAGAGGGTTTGCATTTTTCATTCAAATCATTTTCTCGGCATCCAAATTAAATATTGCAGAAATTCGGACAAGGAGAATAGAATGGGAGAATGCTAGAAGATTGAGCCAAAGATGACAAAAGTAGCGAACTATGGGATTTTGTAGGAACGTGATATAAAGACCAGGAATTTCACTATTCTGAAGGCAATTTTTTTAATCTTATAGCGAAAATTCATATTTTTGTATCCCTCCATGGGAAATCCGTACATGTGTTTTCCGTATTTCTATGCTGACCTTTTACGGCCGGACAAGAATTAGATCCAGCTCGCTTTCAGCGGATCTGCTCTAGTTGTAGGATTGCGTATTTACAATCGTACTTCAAATTTTAGGAATTTTTACTAAATAAATTCAATTTTATTACTGAAAGAAGCCTTATGTAACATTAAAAGAATGACTCTACATGAAACCCACGGACAAATGAAGAGTTAGTCTTATCCATGTCCATGCACATAGATGGTGAAAGGATAGAATCCTATAGCTTGAGCTACGGGGTTGTAAACTTCCTTTCTTATTTTATTTTAATGAAAGAAATTTATCCATTCAAAACGTGTTACATTTTTTATCCTTTTTCCGGGCCGAGAAAAAAATGTTTTCTAAAAACAATACCGAAAAATTTGACGGGGCTTCCTCGCTTCCTCTTGAAAAAATAAAATGAGAACGGAGATTTTTAAGCACCTAAATTGAGATGAAACATCTTCAGTTTCTCCGTCAACATGCAATGCATTTTGAGGACTATTGCTAGAGTACGAAGAAAAACTAAGTTCTCCTTCACTTGGATGGGTATGCAATGTGAGCTACTTGGATGTTGATTTAGTTGTATCATTCATATATCGACGGCGTAATTCCGCAATCACATAACTCGTTTGCGGTGTCTGAAAATTTTCGCCTCTGTGTTATTTTTTTGAAGGAGAACAAACTGATATCATTCATTGAAGTTTTTGCAGAATTTTCTTCGACCAAAGAAGAAAAATCACGTCAGTTTTAAAGAATTGTCGTTGAGTAGTTTTCGTTTAAAAAATAAAGTATGACAGGAAGTCCGTGACGTCGCAAACCGAGTTATGTAATTGCCGACTTACACCCTCGATATGCACTTCGTCGCAGCGTTTGTGAGAGAGGACATGGTGCGAGGTTAGAAAGACCAGTTCATCATTTTTATAAAACTGAAATGCTGTATGAATTGCCATGAGAACCATTGGTGCTTTAAAATTGTAAAATTATCACGACTCCCAATAGGCAAATGGAAAATCTTAAAATCGGATTCGGAGCTACTGAATTATTTTAGACACATCGAGATCAATCATGCTTTTGATCTCATCTGCTCCGTCTGAATATTTTGTGCCAAATATTCTGCAAGGCTCTATTTTTCTGTGGCACTTATTGTTTTAATAATCTAAATCAAAAATAAAAAAAAAATAGCAATTTCATAATAAAACATTGAAATATTATTGCAATACATCGGAATTTCTTATCAACGAGTATTTTTATTGCACTGATCTTCCACTTGAGCAACGGACGTTATCATCTGAAAATTTTCCAGAGTACTCTGGGTGGGATGAAAAAAAATCCGTGAACATTCCAAGAAATGAAGTCCGTCAGTTTTGCTGTAGAAAAATACATTTTAACGAACAATGTACGACGACACCTCGGGATACGTGTTTTCCAACTTTCACGATCGATATTCAAACGTTAGCTGCTCAAAAAAGTGCTCTAGGCTTGACAGCTGTGTGAGATTACCATTTTCTTTCTACGAGTAATGGGTCAGTGGTTGGAAGCTTTAACACTTAAATCTGGGACTTATAAAAATTGAAAATTACTTGTACAGCTTGCTATTTTTAGGCCAAAAGAGTTTTTCAGAGCAACAACAACTTCCCCCAAATAGTCTCGTCATAATTAATTTAAATTACACGGTAAAAGTTTTGCTACTGAATCAAAATGTTGTGTATGTTGCATATCTATCATTAGAAGGAGCTCCTCTTTATAAGATTTGCTGCGATTAAAATAAGTTCCTATTTGTAGCTGCATCACAAATTGCCTATCTTTCTTAAACATTCCACAGCGATCGTTTAAAATCGGCATTTATTGACCAAATGATGGAAAAATATTGCACTTCCGTGCGGTAAAAAATGCGGAAATATTGCATTGAACTGAAATTTTATCTCAATACTCATGTTGCTCTCAATACTTCAAAGCATCTGCAATTCAAAAGGTGGCGTTTTCTAACTGAAAAAAAGGAAGAAAAGTTCACCTGAAGCAAGAATGTACGGAGATTACTCATTCTGCTATCCCGCCTTCAATTTTTAAGGTAAAGGTGGGCCAGGAAATATCTTTTGAGAGGCAATATGATTATATATTTGAGAATCTGTTTAGTATTTTCTATTAATGTTTCCTCGCAGTAATATATTTCAAGTCCACGTTTAAAAATTTCGATACAAGCTCTGTTTTTCTATTTAAGTCACTTTGATTGATTTAAATGTCAATGATGAAACTGCAGAAACGCGTCGTATCTTGGTCTATTCTCATACTTTTTTTTCTACATGAAAAACTTACTATACTAAACGTCATATTTTGAAAACTTTCCTGATTTTTCTCCTCTGTGTGAAGTACATCGATGGCAAAACTGCAGAAATGCGTATCTTGGTTTGCAGCAATGCAAACTTCCTGTCCTACTTTATTTTCTACATGGAAAACTACTGAACGTCATTTTTCGGAAATTCTAGTGGTTTTTCTTCTCTTCATGAAAAATATTTAGTGAAAACTTTAAGCCATGATGTTGATTCGGTCTAATTTTAAAAAATAAAAAAAAATTTTGAAACACTGCAACCGAGAAACGCATTTTTTCAGTTTAACCGTCAATTTTCTGTTAAAATTTCAGGGCATGATATTGATTTGGTCTCTTTTTCAAAAATAAAATAGGACCGGAGATTTTTTGAAGCAACGCAAAGTTACCATCGATGTGTTTTACAAAAATAATAATTCGCTTCAACATTTCCTTATGGTAACAGTTCACGTTCACACAGAAAGCGCAACAGATTTCAAGACCCCGTCAATTTAAAATAGTATGTGTATTCATAAACGTCATAAAAGTCATAAGCGTCTAAAATTTAGACCGCGTTAAGCAGAAAGGAACCAAGCCACATCAGCTTTTGCTAACTTTAACCGGGCAATTAAATTTTTACAAGAGAACGTTTTTGCGGATTATTTTGAAAATTTTAAGGAATTTGCTTTGTACTATGCAAAAAATTAACTTACATTTGTACAAAAAGCCGCAAAACCGTTTTAACGTAAAACATTGAATTGCCCATTTCAATTTGGCAATAGCTGATGTGGCTCGGTTCCTTTCTGCATAACGCGGTCCATTCACAACAAACTATTATTGAAATGCGTTTTAAAGAATTTGATTCGAAATTTGCAGGGGTAAAGGATGGAGCAACTGACCGAGTTCGTTTCGAAGTCTTTCGAGGAGGGCAAGGCGAAGGTAAAAACAAAAGCGGAGGAGGAAGATAGTGAAAAGGACAAGGAAAGCGAAAAGGAGAACAAAAAAGAAAATAAGGCAGAGGTGGCGGCGGCAGATTCGGAGAAAGAGGAAGAATGGAGTGATGTTTCCTCCAGTCGTGGATCAATCTCACCTGTCGTTATCGACTCATACGATTCGAGGTCTCCTCAGCCGATAGCCTCACCACAGGATCAAACTCCCTCGGAAGGTATGTGAATAAATACAGCATAAGATTACAAGAAAACGAAAATAGAAAAAAAATGGGGGGGGGGGAATTGACAACCATGCGGAATAGTTTGAAGAAAAAGCGTTAAACAGAGAGGAACCAAGCCACATCAGCGATTGCCAAACAATTGGGAAATTTAATTTTTTACATGAAAACAGTCATGCGGATTCTCGTGCAAAATTCAGTGAATTTTTTCCATAGTACGAAGGAAATTCTAAAGAATTTTCAAAGGAATCCGCAAAATCGTTCTCTCCTGAAGAATTAAATTGCCCAGCTAAACTTGGCAAAAGCTGATATGTATTGATTCCTATCTGTTAAATGTGGTCCAATTAAGAATACCTCGAACGCAATATGCCCCTTCAATTCCTCGTGTATGCAACACGGCCGACTGCTGAGCTCGAATAGTTGCGCGCGTTCAGGCATTATGACTGATTCAGACTTACGAAGAAAATAGGGAATGAATGGCACCTTGATCGCAATATTTCTCCTTTAATTTTTTGCATATGCAACACGCTCAACAGCTGATCTTAAATATTTCGTCACCTTCCGGTCAAAGTATCAAAAGCGTCATGTGACGTTCCAAAATTTCCGACGCCATTTTATTTTTTTACTGAGAAATTGCTCAACGAAGTTGTCCGAAAATTTCATTGAATTTTCTTTGTGCTGCCGATAAAATTCAGAGAAATTGTCAAACAGATTCAACCAACAATTTCTCCGTAAATGAGTAAAATGGTGGTGGATATTTTGAAACGTCCCATGGCGCTTATGATACTTCGGCCGGAAGGTGGCGAAATGTAGAGTACCTTGAACGCAATATGTCCCCTTCAATTCCTCATGTATATAACCCGGTCGACCGCTGAGCTCGAATAGTTGCGCGTTCAGGCATTAATGGATTGATTCAGACCTTAGAAAAAAACAGGGAATGAATAGCACTTTGAGCGCAATATTTCCCCTTCAATTTTCTGCATATGCAACATGGTCAACTGTTAAGCATTAAGAGTTTTTGAGCAGTTTCTCTCACAGGCTAATAACCTATCCAGACCCTTTCCGTATGTCAGAAAAGTATCGCTTTAGCGTTAGGTATCGATTTTCTTCTACTATGAGCTGAGCATGAATGGTAATGTAATTGTTTGGGTCCAATTTAATATAATCGGCAACTTTCGAAAATGATGTGTCGTAACAACGTTAATTTTGAATTAGTTCGTAGCCTGAAGTCAATGATAAATTCCCAATTTTCTTCAACATCTGATAGAGGTAAATTATGAGAAAAAAATTTTTGTGTTCGTGTCCTTATAGCTTTCCAGTGAGGTGAAGAAACTCACTATTGTCTCACTTAGTCACCTGGAAAAGTAGATTTCATTACGGAAAAGTATCCTACACTTAAATGACAAAAATCCATAAACAGAGGCTAAGGAGGATATTCTTGCAGCGGAGACAATCTTGACTATATATTTTTGGGCTTGTGAAAACACTCAGCGTCTGTCATATAAACATGCAAATTATGTGGTACTTATTTTTGAGATTGCCACACTCAAAAATCGGATTCAATGGGAAGGGGCCGGAAATTTGGACGATTATTTTCTTTGTGTCTCGATGAAAAAAAGAACTTAATCGCCCGGAACGATAATACAAAATCAACTTTAAATGGGACTAAGGCCGCAAAAATAAAAACATAGTTTAAAATAAAAAACTCATCCTCACCGCTGTCATTGTGAGTCTTACAATAACAGTAGTGAGGCTCTGTTTAAATCTTAGTTTTCTTTCTTTTTAACGGTTGAAAATGCAGTTGTAAAACCGCGAAACGTCCCGGGTTTTTTTTTTTTAAAATTTATTTTATGTTTTTATTTTTGCGGCCTTAGTCCCATTTTAAGTTGATTTTGCAGTTCTCGACGAAATCGTTTTTTCTGTCGCATTCTGCGATGTTTGGGTAGAATGATTGCCATCATCCGCCGAACTAAACTCAGGGTTAGTCAAATTGGCTGGTCAAGTCTGCCTAATTTGAGGAATTTGCACAAATGAACATCGGAGCTAATCGAATAACCCAGCGCTAAACGCATTAATCCCATCTATTGCATATAGGTCTTTTTTTTCAACATTTTAAGAATAGGTATAACTTAATGAGTCTTTTCCAAGCAAGGGATTTACCCAACTGAGTAGGCTATTTACTCGTAAGATCGCACGAAAATCACATTCAGCATATTAGAAGTATCCGGTGACAATCATTCCTCAAATTATATACCGTCGAAAATTCTGAAATTTAGCGCTACATACTTTATGAACGACCCCTTCGGACGATGTAACGTATGAAAAGCCTCCTTAAAACACGAATTTCCTGGTAGACTTATGAATGTTTTCCCTCCAATTTCTCAGATAATTTTCTTTGTAATTTTACCTGACTTTCCTGAAAATTTCAAAGAAAAATATTCGTAACTTTCCTCGAAAATAAACTTTTTACTCTAGGAAATCTGGCAACTCTCGAATGTTCATACGGCGTTCTTCCTTAGCACGACAGTGTATCTCTCGAACGCAACAGACCCATCGCATAACGCTATCGGGTAGAAATACCAATCATGATAGTACATCAATGAATACGTAATGCCGAAGGAGAGTACTTCCGGGAGAGGATCCCAGCTCATGTAGCCGACGGCGGGACTTAGAGACCCGGGATTAGCGGGAATTCGGGGCGCAGACGCAAAACACGGAAGAGGACGGAGGAAAGTGCGAGGATATCAGGGTTTATTAGTTGATATTAGGAATTATCCGAGTACAACGGGCGCAATTAATTAATAAACTAAAGTGCTGAAAAATCACAAGGGGGCGGAGCCGCGGAGTTGTCGATAGGGGCGGGGGCGACGGTTAGCGCCCCTTAGCGCCCCTCGGGGAGGCATTAACGTTCAGACATCCCCGTACCTTAATGTAATTTAAAACTTCTTCTCAGTGCGACGGTCCACGGTCGCGCGCCCTTTAATATAATTCCATTACCTTGATGAACACCGAGTATATTAACTCCTCTCATCTTCCTACCCCTCCCAGCATCCCCCTCCCCCCGTGACGTGCTCCCGCCTCCTGCGCCCCCTCCCCCTGGCGGTAATAAATCGCGAGGAGTTTTTTTTCCTCGCGCTGCTCGGCTTCTCCGGCCCGGCATTAGGGATTCACGGCAGCTTACCCGAAATTTGATTTCGCCTAATATAAGGGTTTGCTTATACATGAAAAATTGGATTACGCTCTCAGACGACGGTAACCAGCAATGAGACGGCTGCCGCGCGTTGTCAAACCCCGGGAAATCGAGGTCAAATTTGAACCTCGGGAGGGGCACTGCCACGTTAAGGAAAAACGCTGTATGAGCCTTCGCACTGAAAAAAAAATCTCGGTGTATTTACTAAGAAAAGAGTAAAATTACCAATAATTCAGGGTTCTAATTGATCCCAGTTTTTTCTTGGTAAATTTACCATTTATGGAATTGGTAATTTCACCGAGAAATCTCGGTAATTTTACTGGACCCCGGTAAAAACGCCAATATTTTTTATCGACTGGGGTAGAATTACCGAGATAAAATGGCAAAGTTACCGGGCATTGATTACCAATAAAAGTGGTATTCTTACCTGGAATAAACAGTAAAAATACCGGTTTTTAGGTAAGCTTACCATTCTGTCTTGGTAAAATTACCAATAATTGGTAACAAAAGTGAGATGGTAAAGGTATCAACGGACCTTGGTAAAAACGCCGATAGTTTTTTTCAGTGCAGACGTTGCCAAATTTCCTTCGATAAAATGCGAGTTTGCTGGAGATTTTGTGGGTGGTTTTCTCCCGATTTCTTAGACAGATTTGCTCGGAATGGAGAATTTGCACACAAAAATGTTATTGCTTCATCTGACTCTGAGAGTGTTTAATAAGCTGAGTTCGCAGTATTTTTCATAATTTTTTTCTGAAACGGGAAATCGGAGAAAAGTAGATTTAAAAGTGAGAAAATGCGCCGCCTTGTGACGTCATCTGGCGGCATTTTCCATTTAAACACATGAATTTTGGCAAATTAGGTTATTCTGTCATATTTCCTCGGTTAATTGTTCAATTTAGAAACCAAGGATATCCTGAATATCCTCGTGCTTAGCTTTCTCAGCAGTTTCATTTTAAACCTGAAATTTACAAAATTTTAGACACCTGCAAATTCTCCATTTAATCTGTAATATGTGAAAATTTCAAGGAGAAATATACATAACTCCCCACAAAAATTAAAATTTTATCGGAGAAGTTTGGCAACTCTCGAATGTTCATACGGCGTTTTTCCCTAACACGGCAGAACACTCGATCAGGGAAAAGATTTGAGTTTGAGACAGACGAATAAATCATTTTGAGTCGGCACGGTAAAAATAAGTGTTTGACGTTCCGCGTGATACGATCAGAGAGAAATACTCTCAAATTTTTCGACATGTTTCCGGGGGATTAGGAGTAAGTGATTGGGTTGGTTTTATTTCCATTCGCAATATTTGATTACAAAATCTGGTCTGATATTGGTCCATGACACATTAAGCGAGACTTACAAGATCCTTGTTTTAAACAAATTTTTAAACCTGTACATGTTCTACATTTAGATGAATCAATGTAGTTGCTACAAAAACGGAGGATAAGTACGCGATTTAATTAGTTATTTTAACGTTTAAGTCCGATTTGCACCAAAATACTGCACGGACAGGTAAACTAGTCTGTAATTTGTACATGAGCGTGGGTGAAGGTAAGTAAATTAGGACCAAGACTCTAATACCACCTGCCTGTGCAGTATTTTTATGCAATTCCTTTGAAATAATGAATTGAATTTGGACTTACCGACGCAATTTCTTCTTCGGCTGCTCCTGAGAATCGTAGGGTAGATGATGGATACTATTCTAATAACAGTAGCACAGATAATGTTTTACCGGCTGACCTAAAGAACTTTGAAGTGAAAACTTTTACATAGGTAAACACGATGGTTATTTCGGGTATGTACA